CAGTTTAATGCAGTTTTTAAAACATTATTACTATCATTTTGCCAACGAAAGAATGAACATTATTGCTAAAAAAATTAGTACAATTTGTACATTACATAGACAATAAAGTAGACTTAAGAATATGATAGAGCTAAGAAGAAAAACAAATATAAGTGCATAATGAACTAAGGGAAACAAAGAAAAGGAAAAGGAAAAGTTACAAAAAAAAGAAAGAGCCAAAAAGATCATTGCCGTTTATTACAACGTTTTATAATGTTTTCAGATAAAATTTTCTAACGTTTGTTTGCTTATTCATAATCTTTTTTTATCTTTTTCAAATATGCTTTTTACAATCCATATCATCTTTATCTTCTGCTGTTTGTAGGAAACCACTCATTTTTTATCACTAGGAATTTGGTTTTTTAAAAAGAGTCTACTATTTCATATTATTTGTCTTAAAAAGATCGTTTGGTTCTTATACTTCTTCATCTTTAAAATTAAACGATGTTGGGTGTTGATTCCTATTTTATTAAACCAATACCATCTTTCTTAGAATTAAAGAAGAATATTATCTTTATAATCTAAGTCTTTCGTTCTAAAATGTCATTTTAGAAGAGATATTGCTTCTATTTCTAGTTTTGAAAGACTATTACCAGCATTCTGAATATGGTAATAAAAATTTCTTACAAATATTCTTCATCCACACAACACTTCTTTAGAAATTTAAAACATGATATATTATAGGTGGAAATGGCATTAGCAACTATTTTAATTAAAACTTCCTTATCTCTTATTGAAAAGTGTTTGTTGCTTTCAATTTGTAAGATCCGCCAATAACTTCTCTTTGACACATGCTAATGTATCTCTTTTATGACTTTCCCTAAAAAAATTGTATACCTAAATAGGTCCCAAGATTGTTAATTATTTTAATCCTCATACAATCCTCAATAAGTTTTTTTTTTTTTGGCCTTCTATGGCACATTATTGTTGAAAATCAAACTTGATTTCTCTAAGTTTACCTTTTTTTTTTCTAGAATTTTGATACATTTTAATGATATAAAAAATCACTTGCAATTTATAATATTAGCTTCTAGAAAAAATACTAAGTCATCAACAAAAAACATATGTTACAAAATATGGTAATTTATGTTAAGTTTAACACATACAATTTTGATTTGCTAAAATACTTAATTGGATCAACCTAGATATCACATCTACTACTATGAGAAAAATGTGAAGAGATACAGAATCACCCTTTCTAAGACCTTTAGAAGGAAAAATCTTTCTAAAAGACTTACCATTTATAATTAATGAGTAAAAAACTGAACTTACACATTCCGTGATCCACCTTGTCCAAGTCCTATCAAAATTCAATTTTAGCAAAATAGCTTAAAAAAACCTCCACTCAACCCTATCATATGCCTTGTCATGTTAATCTTCATAACCATCTCATACTTTTTCTTTTTTATTTTTAGCTTCATATGACAGAAAAGTTTATTGTGAAAATAAAACCTTATCATGTATTTGCCTCATTTCTAAAATAGGGCTTTGATGATTTGCATTGGTATCTCCTAAAAAAAATGCTTTAGCCTATTTAATAAAGCTTTGGATCTGATATTATCTATACTATTAATAAAAGCTATCCCAAATGCAATTTGAAAGCCAACTCAACTATATCATAAAAAATGATTAGAAAGACAATTTAGAAGAAATGATTATGAATGTTATGCTATTTTGGCAAAAAAAGGAAAAGAAAAGAATCTAGAAGAAAAAAATGGAAAATGAGAAAGGAAATGAGAGGCACTGGTGAAAGAAAGAAGGGAAAGAAGAAAAAAAGTGGGGAAAAAGGAAAATGGATAAGATTGAGAAGTTGTTTCCAGTATGGTAATGTCGAATCCAACTTCATCTGGTATTTTTTTGTTATTTAAAGTAGATATATTTTAATCTCTTTTATTTTTTTATATATACTTCTTTGCTTTCCTCTCTAATTGAATCTCACAACAATCCTTATAGGAGATAACCCAAAGTTAACCCAACCAAATCTTGTCAAACTGGAGCCACTCATCACATTTGTAGCCACCAAAAATGGATTGGGGTCGAATTTTGTAGATGGAGACTTCATGGACTACAAGGAAGGTGTGTTCGAGGAACTTTTCTTCATCAAACGATATCTCGTAGGAATGGGCTTAGGGTTTTTTCTTTGAAAGAGAAATAAGAAAGGTTGAAAGGAAAAATCAGATGTTGAAAGGTTTGGTTCACAGTCAAAGACATTTAGGGCTTCATCAGCTCGATTCAGTCTTTGATTCGTTGATACAGGAGATGACTACAAAAGAGTTAGCTTTTCCTTTTTCTTATAATTTGCTTAATTCAAAGATTAATTTTTGTTTTTCATCTAAAAAAGGAACTTTGTACATTTAGGTAGCGTTTGGTTTGTGAAATCGTAGATTTCATAGAAAAGTGTGATTCTCGAGAAAATGTGATACCTGGAGTTTTTTTCCATTTTCAAGGCATCTTGTGTTCAAATTCACTCGTTTGATTAGGAAGAATCCACATATATTAAATCCTAAATAATTACTATAATCTCTTTGGCATATATGATAGTAACTTAAATAATCTAATTTTTAATTAAAAGGGATTATTCAAGGTATTTTTTGTCAAAAAACGCATTGAATAATCCTTTACAAAAAATAGAATGGGGTTATTCAAGGTGTTTTTGGCCAAAAACACTTTGAATAATCCCTTTCAATTTTTTTATTAGGAGATTATTTAAAGTGTTTTTACCCATAAAATGCCTTCAATAATAAAAAAAAAAAAAAAAGAATTTTGTACATTTGAATTGCCAAAGTCAGTTTCAAAATTTACAGGAGTTTCGCCTGAGTGTTTGGAGATTGCTAATAGCATTATTGATCGATTCATAAAAACATGTAGTCAGTGTTTATGTTTTCCTAATTTTCTTTCAATTAATGCTCATAATTATTTGTTAATTTTTTAATTTTAATGGATTAGGCATTATATTCCCCAAATACGACAGTCAAAGTTGCCTTTTATGTTTCTCCTCTTATAAGTGAACTTTCAAAAGATAATCAGCCTTATTCATCTGTAAAGTTCAAAGAACGATTTTCTTTATTGATCTATGAACTGTTGTTTCTAATATTGGATGAAGGTTCCTTTCTTGGTTCAGTATTTCTTTCCATTCAGAGGCGTTATTTTGAACAAATTAATTGCAGTGCCACTTATTGTTAAAGTTGTGAAGGCCATTTCTTCATAATCAGATTATAAAGATACAGAACTGGAGATTTTGTTTGATAGAGTTGTCAAAAATGCTCATTGTATATGAATAGTTTCTACGAAACTGGCATGTGATGCTAGACTTCATATTAGGCTATTTTCAAGATTCTTGATGTTTTTCTCTATTAGGTCCTAATAATTGTTTGCTATTCTTTACAATAGGAGGGTAGAGCAAATGAAATGCTTCAAGCTCTTCTTGGCCTATACATTCTGCAAATCTTCGTTGGTGCTCTTATTTTGAACCAAAGTTCTAGGTTTGGTGTTTATTGTTTCAATAGATATTAGAGTGATTTAATTTCCAATATTCAATATGTTTTTAAATCTACTTGTCTTTTGGGATCAGTTGACTTCCGTTATTGATCTCTCGATCCTTTTTTTTCTTTTAAATTCGTATTTTTGTTGTTGTTGGTTTTAAGATATACACCCATGATGTGTAGGCTTTGGTTTCAGTTAGCCCCACTCACCTTCTCTTTGCATCAAGGCTTTGTACATTTTGCTTTATAAAGGGGGAAAGAAAAAATATAACGTTGAACATATGCCACAGCCCTTACTCAACAAGTTGGTGATTTTTGTTACACTTCTGATGCAACGGTAAGCGCTAATGATTCTTTTTGTACTTCTTGGTGTTTGAATGAATCTTTCCTTTTATATTCAGATTTTAGGCTTTGTTTTATGTTGAGTTGCATGCAGGACTATCTTTTTTTTTTTTTTTTGGTGTTAGATTATAAGATATCACTTTGTCAATGGAAAGCTAATGCAGATCTTAGATTTTGCTTTGTCTTGAGTTACAAGTGGGGCTCATTTTTTTTTTTTTTTGTGTTAGATTTCATCAAGTTTAACTTTTTTTGTGATATGATGACAAATTTTTCTTCAATGAATAAGTTAAATATTTGATCATCGATATCAATTAATGCAAATATTTAAACATAATTATTAAAGTAATTATAGTAAACCTTTTGGGCAGAAAATTAAAATACAACTGTTTTTCGTAATTATTTTGAATTCTCTTAACAAGATCCTATTTAATTTTTAAGTTTCTTCAATGAATAAGTTGATATTTACATCTCAATGTAAATATGCAGCAACCGTGAACATAATTTATTAGTTCGTGTTCTTCCACTGTGCATGACAATATTGTTAATTGAATGCTTTCATCTTTGGTGTCTTCCAAAGTATTTTATATAAGCATGAAATATCCTTATAACCATTAATTAATATAATTTGTATTTTACAATTTAATAAAGGGATGTAAAATAAAACATGATTTTAAACAGTTGTCTAATATATAATATCCAGTCTCATCAAAAAATTGACAAAAAAAAATCTTCACCTGTTATAATTACACTTTAATTTGTATAATTTGTACTGATGAGAGAGAAAAATTTTTTTAAAACACAGTTACAATGATCTTTTATATTGAGATTAATTTTTAAAAAAATTATAAATATATATATATATATAAAAGCCCTCAGCGAAGTGAAGGTAGAAATCTAGTAACAATATTTGCACAAGCTAATTGGTCTAAAGCTAGAAACATTTTCAGAGTCCTTCACCTTAGAATAAAAACTATATCAGTACCATTCAGTTGCTTAAACATTGTTCTAAGAGATCTTCATTTTAACTTGAAGCATAAGGCAACTACTTATTATTAAGGCCCCATTTGGATTCCATTGGAATCCAAGCCAAAAATTGGCCTCAATTAAACTATGGGATGCATTGGATAATACTCCAATCTCTTATTGGAGGGTTCACTGAATTCTAGGGCAATCGATTTCTCTACCTAAGGCATTCAACTGTTTTGGTGCAAAATTGAAAGAAAAAAAAAAATTCAGTTATGACAATAGATTGCCTTTGGTTGGGCATTCAGTTGCCTCATTTTCAAACATGGTAGTCGATTACCTTAGTCAGACAATTTACTAACATGGATAATAAGACAATTGACTAACATAGTCAATTTCACTGTTATTATTGTGTTTGCATTCAAATACATATCATTAATACTAATTTTAATCTCATTGATACATTATCTAATTTTATCATTAAAATAACTAATATAACTATTATCTTTGTTTTCAATCTCAATGAATCTAATTTCACTGTCGATTCAAATGAATCATAACTACATGATGCCATTGGCAGTTGATAATGGTGGGATATGTTTCAAGGTCCTTCAAACACGTAGATTGGCACAGTAAGTCGCAATGAGCTAAGTAGAGACCTTAAGGCAAAGCATTAATCTTCTGCGGTTAGTATATGTAAAAATTTATTTATATTCAAGATAACTAGGTTCATGGGGAAAAAAAGTCCTTCTACCCACACCAGAGAAAAGGTTGTCTTTTGCTCACAGTCTATTCAATTATTAACTTCACCCTCCATTTTCCTCCCGTTTCATAGGGGAAGAAATCTCATTGTCAAACCTTAATAACTACTTGTTTATGGCGTCTGTTCATACAATTGACTCTACCATTGCTCATAATGTCACATTTATAAAAAGGAACGACGATCATACTGAATCTCACAATTCTGCCCGCAAAATTTCTTGGATTTTCATTTTGTTTTATCTTCCAAGTATAAATGCGGGATGGAACAGATTTTAGGCTACATGACTTGATCAATTATTCCTCTTCACCTTATAAGTGGTATGAGAAAGTACTCGGCGTAAAAGAGCTGCAAGAAGAAACCAACTAGTTATTGAAGGTGAACAAGAAAAGTTTCAAACATTTTGATTTGAAGAACAGAAAACTGAAGAAATTCAATCAGAAATGATAGCCTAAATGATAAATGAACCACCAAAAGGATATGAAAATCGGTCCAGCTGGCAATAGAAAAGGTCCAAAACGTTTCTCCTGGAGCAATAGTCCCCTACTCTGTCACTTTCATCAAACTCATACATGGAGGAGAGACACTTAGGGATGAGTAAATGATCAATTCGGTCGGTTTGATTTGAAAAAATCAATAACCGACTTAACCGACTTTCATTTAACAAATAACCGAACCGATCAAATATTATTAAATAACCGACCATAACCGAACCGATCAAAATCAGTTCGGTTCGGTCGGTTCGGTTAAATAATCGATTTTTTTTATCATTTTTCTTCCTATTATGAATAATTATTTAACCATAAATTCAATTCAATAAAATTCAAACTCTAATATCATTCAAACTAAATTACTAAAGAATTTAATAATTTCAACAATATTTTACCAAAAAAAATAAATAAAAATATTTATCTCAATTTTTTTATTTTTAATTATTAAAAAGTCGGTTAATTCGATCAGTACGGTTATCAATTTTAAAAACCGAAAACCGACCGAATTAACCAATTTAACTGATTTAAAAAACCGATTATAATTAAAACCGAATAAACCGAACCGATTCAACCGAATTCACTCAGTTTTGGTCGGTCTAGTCAGTTCAAACCGACTTTTGCTCACCCCTAGAGATACTCTGCTTGTAGACTACCATGCAATTTGCAACAAATTTCAAGTTTATTTGGGGCTATGTTCGAGCTGAGTGGTTCAAAATCAAATCATAATAGAATACCTAGTATTTTCTTATATGGTTCACTCAGTTAAGACTGACTAAAACATTAATATCAATCAAGATTATATTTTTCTCAGACAGGCATACAGAAGAATCAAACCTCATATGAATCCAAGACCACCTATTCAATAAGGTTAATCATTTTTGCCATGCAAATGTAATATGAAAGCAAAAAATCTTAAGAAATCAATGAATTATTCAAAAGCCAGTAAAATAATTAAACAGTGGCAATTGGGTATCCAGATGCATCTCGAGGGCCACAAGTGAAGTCAATTCTGTTCTATTTCCTTTTTCCAATTATTCCTATCTGAATTGCAGTTAAAAAACGTAAGATGTCAGCATCATCTTTTAGCAACAAAATAGTTTGACAAGCCAAGATAGATGATTACCTTCCAAATAAACATATAACATGATGTTATTGCAGCTTTGCTCTTCAGATCGACAGATTTGGCACGGATCCATAAAATTAAAGCCAAGATGGAATGACCCAAGACCTAATCCAATTCAAGGAGAAAGGATTACATATTAGTCAATGTTGACATACTTGTTTAAATAATCGGACAGCATATAGCATCTATCAGAAAATTGCACCATTGCTGGCAACAAATGACAGATAAACCAACAATAAAAATCAAAGATTCTGAATATGGGAATGGTCTTTCCCTACATTTTTGTGAGTTTTCTTGCCCCATAATGTTATGATAAAATGTCAATCAATCCTTACCACTTAGTCAGAGACATCAGCCAACATCAGTGTAAGCCTTAATTCTAAAAGTTAAAATAGAGAAATAGGAATAAGAGCTCTCCCAAGCCCAAGCACTTCAGCAATCAATAATACAAGAGAAAAAAAGGATGAAGATGAACCAGAATCCCAACAGGAAATGAATGATATCTCAGAAAACCTCAAGAGAGACCAATCCTAGATTTTGCATAAATAACTGATGAGTGCTAAGCATAGATATTTATCTCTCTTCTTAGTACCCAGAAAAAATTTTGTTTAATTGACTATGGTACATGTCATTCTTTAGTATTCATTCAGGGAAAAGAAAGCCAGCTGCAGGAGCTACGCTCTAGTAAAGGGAATCTAAAATATTAATCATAATATGAAACACCCAATATTTCAAGTGAGGGTCAATATTTACTACTCTGCATTTCTTTAAGAAAAAAAATTCGACGAGTAATGGATATCTTGAATACACACGGTGATGACTTTGCTCCAGGTGTAGGAAGATGTTGCACCAACCAAAATAGAAACACCATAAGCCATTTCAAGAAGTGAAATACAGGTCCAAAACACCTGCCAGAGTAAATTAAGACAGCCAAAGGATAATAAAAAACTTTAAATAGGATAGTGCGCTCATTTATGAAACATTCATACGCTTAACCCACCCGCTCTTGACCCAGACGTACTGTATAAGATCTGATTCCAAATATCTTATCCCCTTCAATATCAGGTATATCCTGCATAATAGCCATCACAAACTTAGAATGGCAATTACCATTTCAAACATGCAAAAGTAAATGAATTACTTGACTAAAATCAAATGCAAAAGAGAAGGTAAAGCAATCCATTAAAATAGAGGGTAACATTTACCTTAAATAAAGCTATAACAACTGAGAAGAAGCTCATGAATGCAGTAGCAAAAATTAGAGGCTTTGAAACGAGAGCTGGTCTGCTGAATACATGGATCTGGGAACATCAAACAGAGTATAAAAGCACTTTAATTGATCAGACCATGTAACGAAAAGCATCAACTGATAAAAAAGGATCTCTGCAAGTGAACAGAGTGGTAAAAATGCTTGTGAGAATTTTTGAACATGAAATATATATGAATTTGTACATTTTGGTATGTTCATAGGTCCACTTGGTAGTCACACAAGGGATGATACCTCTCTCATCCTATAGAGACCACTTCACCATTCCCAAGAGCAAGTGTCAAGTTTTAACTCCTAAAATGCCCTTTAGAGATCCGGTTCAAATATATTGAGGAATCAAAGCCATGAAGTCATCACTGACTTCATGGCACCAATGCAACACTAGATATGCTTTAACTAGATCAGTTTCAATTTAGCTATGTCTCAAATCAAGACATATCTCAATCTAGAGGTCATGTATCTAACATGAGAATTGAGAAAATAAAAGTTTTATCGAGTTCTAAGGGAAAATGGGAAAAGAAAGAAATGAGAAAAAAAAAAAAAAAAGAAAAAGAGGAGAAAAAGCCACCTGCATGTGCAGATAGAAAGCGAGTTGAACAATCACTGCTCGAACAGCTAGGATACACATCGCTGCAACCAATGCAAACCTTTTCCATCTCAATAGTGGCAACTGAAATTACAGAAAGTTTACAGTATCACCAAATCATATAGAAACCACTGTTAAATAAGTCAGACCACTGCAATAATTATCCCAATTTGTGAGTAATAAGATGAAAAGAACGTTCTAAAGCACCATGAAGTCAGAAAACTCTACAAGCACATCGATTGCAATAATTCTAAAAATTAGAACTGGCACCAAGAGATAAACAAGGACTAAATCATTTTTTTCTTGGCCTGTTGACTGATTTACACATAAATGTCACGTCTTTACCTAATAAGTTCACATATCCATAGCATATGTAGATCATTAGCTACAATTGGTAGGAGATAAGAGCCAAAAAGTAAGTACTTGGAAAATGGTTAGTAACTGTTTTGAACACATGCTTGGTAGGAGAGATAAGGGGAAGGAAAAACAAAGGTAGGGATTGGCATTTTCTCTTTGGACCATAAAATTTTAGGTGAGAAAAAAAAACAAGAATAGGGATCAAAAGTTATTAAGTTTAATAAATTGTCCCCTATTTTAAGTTTCCTTTTCTATCTTCACTTATAAAGAGTAAAACAGAAAGCTAATGTGCAATGATTTTTTTTCCCCTATTTGTTTCTCTTTAACAAGCAAGGCAAACAACATATTTTTCTTTCCTTCCATTTCTCCATTTTCCCACCAAGCACACAATTCAGAGTGAATATCTTTTCTTTTTCTTTTCATATTTCTAGTTTCCTTACATCTCTTCATTTTTCCATCTTTCCTACAAAGCAGCACCTTTATATTTAAGGACAATTAAATAGAACAGCTCTAATGTAAATAAGGTAGAGGAGCAAGTTTGCACATGGTATTGAAACAACAAATTAAAGTAAAGTTTAGACAATTAAAGAAATTGAAGAAATTCATGAAAATTTTATTTATGAATTCTTAAGAAACTTTCTAGAGTACAAGGGTATATATATAGCTAAAACATCAAATCTGGCAAATTTCATGATATCCTAGAGATAATAACAAATCACATAAAAATCCACCAATAATAAATGGAAACTACTAAGTAGGAATTTGGTCAATAAACCAAATCCCTTTTATTTAGGAAACAACCAAAATACTAAATGAATGACACCTAATCAAATCTGATTAGGAATCGGTTTTTCACACTCCCCCTCAAGTTGGGTTGTAGATATCAATCATACCCAACTTGGACTTCAAATTCTCGAAAGTGCTACGATGAAAAGCCTTGGTAAGGATGTCTGCTGTCTGATGTTTTGTTAGAGTGTAGACTAGTGTGACTGCGCCTTCTTTAATCTTCTCTTTGATGAAGTGACGATCAAACTCTACATGTTTCGTTCGATCATGATGAACAAGGTTCTTGGCAATTTAATAGTTGCTTTATTATCACAAAACAATTTCATTGAATTCCCAGCTGACTTTTTCAGCTCCTGTAGCATTCTCTCAAGCCAAATTCCTTCACAAATCCCATGAGACATAGCCCTAAATTCAGCTTCATCACTACTTTGAGTTACCACTGCTTGCTTCTTGTTTCTCCAGGTGACAAAGTTGCCCCACACATATGTATAATACCCTGTAGTTGACCTTTGGTTTGTGACAGAACCAGCCCAATCTGCATCTAAGAAAATGTCCACATCTCTCTTTAGTGTTTTTCTAAAGTGCAACCCTTTGCCTGGATTTTTTTTTCAAGTATTGAAGGATCCAGTATACTGCCTCCATGTGTGTCTTTGTAGGATCGTTCATAAATCTACTCACCATACTTACAGAGAAGCCAATGTCAAGTCCAGTGTGCGCCAAATAAATTAATTTTCCCACTAGTCTCTAGTATCTATTTTGGTCTGCACGAGCACTTCCATCTCCAGTTCCCATCTTGACATTTGGGTCCATTGGAGTATCCATTGGTTTACACCCGAGCATCCCTACTTCTTTAAGAAGTTCAAGTACGTACTTTTGTTGTGAAACAGAAATACCATTTCTTGATCGAGCTACTTCCATGCCAAGAAAATATCGAAGCTGTCCCAAGTCCTTTATTTCAAACTCTTTAGGTAGAAGAGTCTTCAATCCAACTATTTCCTCCTCAGAATCTCTTGTGAGGACAATACCGTCAACATAAACAATCACAATAGCAATCTTACTATTTAGTAAATGTTTGACAAACATAGTGTGATCACATTAACATTGTAAGAACCTATTTTTTTTACAAACCTAATCAAACGATCAAACCAGGCGTGAGGAGATTGTTTAAGGCCATAAAAGGATTTCTAAAGCATACACACCTTGCCGATGTTGTCCTAGTTGTCAAACCCTAGAGGAATCTTCATGTAGACCTCTTCCACTAGATCACCATTCAAAAATGCATTTTTGATATTAAGTTGATGATCGCCAATCTAGGTTTGCAACAAGTGATAGTAACACATGGATAGAATTCAGTTTTGCTACAGGAGCAAATGTCTCCTCATAATTAATCTCGTAAGACTAAGTGAACCCCTTAGCCACAAGATGAGCTTTGAATCTATTCACACTTTTGTCTGTCCTTTGTTTGATAGTAAAAATCCACTTACATCCCACTGGGCTCTTTCCTGCAAGAAGATCAATAATTTTCCATGTACCATTCTTTTCTAGTGCTTGCATTTCTTCCATTACCGCAACCTTCTATTTTGGCTGTTCGAGAGCTTCTTGGATGGTATTCAGTATATAAACATCAATTAATGATGTAACTAGTGCTCGGTAAGTAGGAAACAACCTTTCATGGGAAACCAAGTTACTAATAGGGTGTTGAGTGCATGATCTCACACCTTTTCTTATAGCAATGGGCTAATCGAGATCACTAGAAAAATCATCAGAGATAAGTTCAATAATTATGTTACCTGTATGAATTTCAAAAGTCCTTGGATTTGGTTCAAAATCTTGGTTCTGTATTGGAGATGTACAAGTCCCTATCTCCTTTTGAGATTTCAGTCTCCTTGAGTATACAATCATTTCCTTAGCTTTTGTCTCTTGCACGGTTTCAAAAGATTTTGGAGAGTCAGATGACTAGTTAACTCAGAAAAAGAAGAAGAATTTTTTGAAATGGGAATTTGAATTGGCAAACAAGTAGAGGAAGGATCAGATGATGGCTCAATCTCTCAAAGTTGATATTCCCTATAACTCTCCCCTTGAATATCGACTTTAGGATAGAATGGCTGATTCTTAAAAAAGGTGACATCCATGGAAGTGTAAAACTTTCTGGTAGTTGGTGAATAACATCTGTAGCCTTTTGGTTAGGTGAGCAGCCAAGAAATATACACCTGAGTGATCTTGGGTCTAGTTTATTGCATTGTTATTGGTGTATATGAACAAAGGTAGTACATCCAAACACTTTGACTGGTATGGAGGAAGTGATTTGGACATGAAGGCAGGTTTTGAGAAGTGTTTGACAAAGGGTTTGAAATTTTAGTACTTGAAAAGGCATCCTATTGATAAAAAAGGCTACTGTCAAGATTGCCTCTCCCCATAAATGTTTCAGGACATGAGAGGCTAGCATAATACGTCTTGCAACTTCAATCAAGTGTCTCTTCTTCCACTCAACAACTCCGTTTTGTTAAAAGCATTTCAATACATGAGCTTTGATGAATAATTCCTTAATCTAACAAGTAAGATCCAAAAACTGAATGATAATATTCTCGCCCATTATCTATTCTAAGCACCTGAATTTTTGCTTGAAATTGAGTTTGCACCATTTTGTTGAAATTTTGAAATATTGAACCAACCTATGACTTGTCTTTCATGATGAACAGCCATGTAACTCTGGTGTGATCATCAATAAAGGTAACAAACCATCTAAAGCCTATAATATTGTTAACCCTCGATGGTCCCCAAACATCACTACGGATCATAGAAAAAGGATGAGTTGATTTGTATGGTTGACTTGGATATGAATTACGAGTGTGTTTGAAAAACTGACAAATTTCACATTGATAAGAATTGGAGCTTTTATTGAATAGATCAGGAAGCAATTTTTTAAGGTACAAGAAATTTGGATATCCCAAACAATAGTGCCATAACATGATTGTATTTTCTTTACTCTTACTAGAAGATGAAACTGAACAAGCACTCCTTCATGATTGTCTCTTAGATTCTCCATCTCTAAGAAGATAGAGTCCAACACATCCTAGCATTGCCAATCTTCTTCCCCGAATCCAAGCCCTAAAATTCACATGTTAGAAAGAAATTTAGTAACACAATTAAAATTTCTCATAATTTTGCTACCAGATAGAAGGTTGCAATCTAAACTAGGAAAATGAAGAACAAAGTCAAGTGTTATATCTTTTGCAATAATGACTGAACCTATCCTAACTACCCGGGAAAGTGACCCATCTGCTATTCAAACTATGAGGTTTTCAGAACATGGGCTGTATTCATGAAACACCGATGCATCACCAATCATGTGGTTTGATGCGCCTGAATCAACAATCCAAGATCTTGATTTTCCACTTTGCACAAGTAGAGCATTGAAAGAGTTACCTTTTTGTGCAACAAACACTATGCTTACAACTAACCTAGTGTTCTAAAGAGATTGCTGAACAATTTTCTAAAGGAGTTCCAATTACTCTTTACTAAACGAACTTGACTCTAGGGGTGTTGAAGTTCTCTCAATGGTGGCAGAATTTCCATGACTCTCTCAATTTTGAGTAGCACATGGTTTGTAGTCAATAGGTTTCATGGATTTCCAAAGAATTTTCTCGTGTGTGTCTTGCCTTCTAACAGTGATCACACCAAGCTCTGTTACCTTTCTTCTGTCAATTTTCATCACCTTGGTAGGATTTTGGTCCTCATGCAGTAAGGGCTGAATTTTCTGTTTCTTGTGGATTGCATGATGTCCCTAGCATCACTTTCCTTCTACTCTTCTTGGCGAACCTCAAAGAAAACTTCTTGGATGTTGGGTAATGGCTTGATACTAAGAATTCTCTCACAAACATCATCAAGGCTCTTGTTTAGACCAAGTAAAAACTTATAAACTCGGTCCTTCTCCACTATTTCCTATATTGTTGGCTATCATCAGGGCACTTCCATGCTATTTCTTCAAAGATATCTAATTGCTACCAATAACGAGTTAAAGAATTAAAATATTCCATGATAGAGGAGTCTCTTTGCCGCAAGTCATGTAAAGTGCTTTTGATCTCGAATATTGCACACGTATTGTCTATGTTGTAGTAGGTTTCTTTCACAACATCCCAAATCTCATTGGTAGTTTTGTAGTACATGAAATTCTCACCAATCTCGTTGCTCATAAAATTGATCAACCACAATGTTACCATGCTATTCTCCAACTTCTAGGTTCGGTAGTTCGAGTCATCCTCGCTGAGTGAAACAACTGTTCCCGTGAGATAATCCTCCTTACCTTTTCCACGGACAAACATCACTGATTGAGAGCATTGGATGAAGTTTTGTCCATTGAGTTTGTGACAAAATAAGGGGCTCAAACACACCTATGCTGCTAGCCACGACGTAGATAGAAAGATAGAAAATATATTTATAGGTTTTGATTATTCAAGATGAACGCTTTGATAATAGGAAGAAATTCATGAGAATTTTATTTATTAATTCTTAAGAAACTTTCCAAAGTACAAAAGTATATATATAGCTAAAACATCGAATCTGGCAAATCCCATGATATCCTAGAGATAATAACAAATCATCTAAAAATCCACTAACAATAAATGGAAACTACTAAGTAGGAATTTAGTTGATGAACCAAATCTCTTTTATTTAGGAAACAACCAAAATACTAAATGAATGACACCTAATCAAATCTAGTTAGGAATTGGTTTTCCACAGAAATTATTCATTAATATTTCATTTCCTATCTTTTCTATCTCCATGCTTGAATAAACTAGTTTAACTTAAATTTCTAACTTTTCACTTTTTCATCTATTCTACAAAGAAAAGCTTTTATGTTAACTAAACCAAAAAAATATTTTTTTTTTGTTAAAGCCTTCTTATATAAATATTAGCATTTAGGGTAATTTACATAACCCCAACTTGTGGTTAAAGGCAATATAGATATGCCCCCAGTGTTAACCTCTCAAAGGATTTTTTTTTTTTTCACTAATTGTGAAGCTAATACCATTTATCTTTTTCCCTTTTTTTTTTTCTTAATCACCCTTTCTTATTCCTTGAATTTCTGGTCCCTCTCCATCTAACAATGTCATAGATGTCATTTCTCCTTTAACAATGTTGACTTGAAAATTAATGAAAAATCAAAGGGTGGTAAAGTGTCAGTTTTTAAACCTCAAGAGGCAAATTTATTTGGCCTCTAAACACAGTGTAATTTTTTATAATTTAGCCTAGCATTTATATATGTTTTTAGTTGAAAAACATTTTTCTAGCCATTGGCTAAGAAGTTATGAACTTTGCTTGTATTAGTTTTGTTAAGAGGACTGATTCTTTTACCTTTTTTAATGCAGGTATTTCTTATTCTTCTAGTACAGACAAACTGAGAAAGGACAAGAATATGGACTGATTTTTTGGCAAGGAAGTAGAGTAGGAACAAAGAGATAGCAACCCATGTAGGGTGAGGCAAAGCAATTAGGGGGACAGTGCACCATAAAACCTGGCCCTATTCTAAATGTAGTATTTTGTGGAAAGCAATTTATTCATAGTAGAAGTACACCTCATCTAGCAGTTGTGAGGAGCCTAGGTGCAATTAATTGCAAAAGAAATTGAAATAAAGAGGTGCAAGAACAAACCATACACACAAAAACATGACGTCTGATATATTTTTGCTACATTCATCTGTTTAATGGAAAAACCCAAAGCCCAACTCACATTTATTGAATATGCAGTCCCAAGCACAAAACTGATGAAAAGAGCCCAAAATAATGGCCATGAACCAACAATCCATCCAAGCCAAAAGCTCTGGAAAGAAAGGAAAGATATAACAAACATTTAGTTAAGAATCAAGCTAGTCTGCTTAAACATTAAAAACAAATAACTAATAAGTTGGATTATTCGTAGAAGTACCAAGTACATCTATAATTGATGTATCAGTTTGTAAATAATTCCTCCATTTTCAAATTGATGAACATGCTTTCCATTTCGAGATCTTTTAAAATAATGTTCTTTTTCTTCTTTTTTACAATCCAAATATAAAAATCTCAAAATTGGATATCTAATGTGCATCTAGTCACTGAACTGCAGGTACTTATGATTCTCCACAGCAAAATCTTAGTCATTTAAGTATCTTTTTAATGATCTTAAAATGTACAAAACTAGAATTTCACTTTCCATGAGAACAGCATGATCTTTTGTTTCATTGCTCAACATTTTGCATCAGATGCAAAGATATATTTACCACAGAAGATAATGAATATAACAAGAAATTTTTGCAAAGGACAGATTAAGGATACCATGAGGGCAAATGACGTGACAATCATGATGCCAGTAAGTGTGGAATATTCCCCTGATGCCAATGGAAGGTAAGGCTTATTAACCTGCAATGAGACATATCTATATTTAGACAATTCATACGAATTTATCCATCTACTCTAATTTCTAGGTTCATCCTCCAAGTAAATTAAGTACCTAAATCTCTTGTTAAAAAGGAAAAAAAAAAAAAAGTTACTGCATGACCTTGTTAAAAAGGAGTAGCAAAACTACATGAACTTTCAACAGAACCAAACACAAACAGGGATGAAAGAAACAGCAATAAATAAGAAGGCATCTAGTCTATTTGATCAGTCAAATATTGCCAAAAAGAATATTCAAATACAGCGAGATACAGAAAAATGAGTCTAGCAAGACATATTGCAGATTCATTCATTCTTAATTAAACAAATAAACTTCTACAATTGTATTTTCATATTAAGCTACCTTGTCTATGTCAATGTCAGCCAACTGATTTAGACCTACAATATAAATATTCATCATAAGGGCAGCAACCACAGCCTGAAAAATAAAATAGGTGCGTAAGAATTATAATTACTAATTTACTAATGAGCTCATAAAAAAGATAATGATATTTAGTGTGATCACCTCCAACACCCCAGTAAAAAACACAGAAGAAACATCTGACACCTTCTCAATGGCAAGGAGAGAAACTGAAACAATGCTGAGTGCCTGCTGAGAGAAAGAAAATGAGCTCTGAAAGATAAAAGCAAGTATAACCAATGCAAATGAAATATACTTTTAATGATATGTAGGATACCAAAAGGTTCCCATCCATATGTAACTTCTATGTAATTGTAATCAAACTAAACACTTAACTGTGCCTATAACTGTGTGAGGCCGTGAGAACCTGTAAAAAGCATCCATTGCATTTATAACAGAATTCTGAGTGCTCTTTGGATAAGCTTCTGGTTCTGACTCATGAGGGTAACCAGAGGTGGCATTGACCAGAAATTTTGTATTACTTTTCTGGAAGGCTGTAGATGTTTCATGAATACCTCTAGCATGATGCTTGCCAATATGCTGCCGAAATCTTAGATTACAAAACTTTTCTACGATCTTATATGAACTGCATGTTAGCACTGGCAATCCTATAGAAGAACCTATAGTCCAGGTCATTGAAATAATATTAAATGTCATCCAATTACATCAGTTGCAAATGAAAGAGAAGCTTGAAGCAAGAAATTTAACATAATGAATATGGAATATAGATGACAGAAGCTTGGAGAAAGAAATTTAACATAATGAATATGGAATATAGATGACAAAAAATTGTGAGCAAAATTTAGAATTTTTTGGATGAAGTTCCTGCAGTTAAAGTTGAACCTTATCAAATATAAACTAAAGTAAAAAAAGCCATATGGCCGAGAACCGAAAGATTGATAGACATTCCTTAATAGACTAATATGTGGTAGATTAAATGTTCTGTATCCAGTTTTTTGGCAGTTTATTAAAAAAAAAAAAACTAAATACTACTAACAACTACCAAGATGGAAGTATTAAAAAAAATAACTAAGGGGACGCCTAAATGATCAAATTAGTCAAATCTGATTGAAATCTGTCACAACTCTCCACTTTCCATCCCAGCAGTGCTCAGGTGACCCAGCCAAAATCAATTACTTTAAGAATTAGTTGAAAAGCAGTTCATTCAACATTAATTAGCAACTCAAAGCCCTTAATTGGTAATAAGCTATACAAACAAATATATAAAATCTTTCCCATTAATTTTTTTTAATTAGGTATATAAACCCTAAAACTGTGCAAACTATTTCTCATTTTTGTGAAAGATTACGACAGACTAAAAGAAGGGAGAAGTAGCAAATCATACTTGTAAAATGTACAGCCTTCAAATCGTTACTCCTCCAGCTACTCCTTCCTAATTTGTGCTCGTTCCATTCGTCAAATAAAATGAAATAATTAGCCAAAGCTATAACAGGAAGCAGAAGAACAATGAAAGAAAATAATAAGCAAATAAAAAAAAGAAAGAAACACACCAGGGGTGAACAACGAAGGTCCTCCATTAGAGGACCAAAGAATCAAAGCACTCATTGAAAGAGTTGAAACCCCAAAACCCTTCTTTCTTCACTCGGTCAAACTGTCAATCAAAGCAAAAAAAAAAAAGATGGTGCCGTCATTAAAGAAAAGAGTGACCAATAAAAATGAAAAAGAAGGTTAAAAAAGGAGCGGAAAATGTGGTTTCGACAGAGATTTTAGCTAAAAAGAGACTTACACTGACTTGTAGAGAAAGAGAAAAAGGAGAGAATGATTTTGCAAATTAGCAATCGCCAGGCCCAGCGGCGATAGTAGAGTGCCTACTCTGAACTCTTCTTATAGTCAACACAAAAAACGTATTTTTTTTGTTTTTTTTTTTTTTTCAGGCTTATCTTTGTCAGTAAGTTTGACACGTCTACTGGCAAAGCAAAAAGGTTTGACTTATGCCTTTTTGTTTTTGGCCAAAAATGCAAGTATCACTGACTCCCTAAACAAAATATCTGCTGGCTTTGGCTTCCGCAACTGTGGTTTTTTTTTTTTTTTTCTTCAAATAACTCGTGGAAAGATAATCTAATATATATATATATATATATATATATATTATTTTTACATATATACATTATATAATAATATACATAAATAAATTTATCACATAAATATTTATATAAACAATTCTCTTAAATAACACATAAGATAATTTTTTTAAAAGATAAAATAATATCTTTTAATTACAAATTTGATAATTTTAAATTTATTTAAATATTAAAACTATTTAAATTATAAAAAAAGTCAAATCAATTTTAAAATATATTTTATAAAATTAAAAATATAAAATATGGATTTTATTTTTTTAATAAATAACTTTAGTTGTTTATCAAATAACTTTATTTAAAAAATTATTTAAGTATCAAAATTTTTCAAACATGTTTTAAAATTATAAAAATTAATTTTATTCAAATTTTTCAATAATCTTTTTTATCTTGATGTAACAAATTATCTTTTGAAAAAATTTACGTAAGACATTAAAAATTCAAACAATTTTATGTAAGATTTTAAAAATTTTAAAAATTTTCATATTAAATTTTTATATAAGAAGATCATCAAAACGATTATATTTATTTGAATTCTAATTATTAAATTTATATTTTAAATAAATATACAAAAATTAATATTATCTTTATCACTTATTATATACATTTTAAATTTTAAAAAATTAATTTAAAAATTATCTATTTAATTCTAATTGTCACTAAAATATTCTTTTACAAATTTAAGATTATAAATGTAATGTACTCTACATCAATTTTTCTTATTTTTTTAGTAACTTTTTTCCATTGCATATTCTATTACTATTGTAATTTATTTTTTTATTTTGTTTACAACTTTTTTTCATGATTATTACAGTTTCATTCTTATAAAAAATAATATTTTTTTCAATTTTTTCATATATTTTCTAATATTTTTCATATTTTGCATAATAATTTAGTCAAGTATACTAAAGTAAAAGTATGTTAATACTTCTTTTATTATTTAATTTATCATTCAATAATATATATTTTTATTTTTTAAGAAATGCATAATTTATTTTTATTTGTTATAATCTTACATGTATATAAATATTATTATAAACAAAAATATCCAAAGAAAAGACATATTTTTTACTATTTTCATAAAGTTTTTTTTTAATAACAAATAAATATATATAAATTTTATATATACTATGAGTTTTAAAGATCTGAATATAATTTAAAAAGAAACTAATTTATATATATATATATATATATATATTCATATTAAATAAGTAAAATTATTTCGTGTGCATTGTATGAGTTATAATCTAATATTTTAATAATTCAATATCTTTTATATTTAAGGATATAAAAATTGAGCCTCGCAATTGGAAATAACAAAATTCAGAACTCATGTATTATCAACAAATCACATAAATATTAACATCAATTTTTTAAAATTTTTAATATATCTTTAAATTTTTTAATTTATTACATAACTAACTAAAAAAAATATTACGTATGTAAATTCTTTTGAATTTATAATTTTTAAATATCAACTTCAGTAACATATTAATTGATCTTTAAAATAATCAGTAAATATTAACATCAATACTTGATTGAACAATTGGTGTATACAATTTTTTATTTTAAAAATTTTTAATATAAAATAAAATAATCGAAAGAATGCTTCCAAACTAAGAGAAGTTCTATCTTCAACTAAGTTTTTTTTTTTTTCTTTACAGCCATAATTTTTTTTTGACAAAAAATACTTTCGAAATATATGATTTAATTATCCTTACTAAAATTAATTCTTAATTCTTAATTCATTTCAAATTTTATTTGAAAGGATATTAATATTCGTATACTTTTAAAAGCAGACAAATATATTTATTTGACTGGTTTTAAAAGCAGATAGATACACATATTCCTCTATTTTCGAAAATCAACAGATATCAATATCCATCGTTAAAACCAAACAGATTTGCATTTCCGTCATACTCAAACACAATGTTTTCCTCAAACTAATTCCACCTTCATAAAGGGTCACTCATAGATTTGTATTTTTATTTAAAAATTAAAAATGTTTTATATTAATATTTTAATAACATATATGAGAGTTAAATTTAAATTTAATATTCTAGTGTAAGTAAATCTCTTACTCTAAATAATATTTCAAACCAAACTGAGTCAAATTTAAAAAGCTTAAACCAAGTTTGAAACTTTTTATCATTAAATTTAAAATTTTTGTTGTTATTATTTAAAAGCAGCAATTGTTCCTATTAAAAATATTTCATTTTTAAACACCATTCTTCTTGTATGCGAAAAGATTATATTTTATTTTGTATTTGAAAAAAGAAACAAAAAACAATCAGTTTTGATTTTTTTTTTCCATCTAATTACTGATCTTTTGTTTCAGATATGCAAATTAAATTGTATGTATTTTTGTTAATTTTTTCTTTTTAATTGTCAGGAAATCGAATCTTGATTTTTAAGTAAAATATACATGCATGTATTATTAGGGATAAAGTACATTTGTAATTTCAGATATTTTATTTTGATTTTTAAATTTTAAATTATTCAATTATAATCTCAAACCTTTTAAAATAGTGTCGGGATGGTCCTCTTATCAAATTTAATAAGATAATTACAACTTAGAAAAATAGATCTAAAATTATTTCTTTTTGTTATCATATTAAAATATATTTATTAAAAATAAATAAAACTTTTAAAATTTTAGAAAATAATGCAATTATCATTTTTTCCCTTAATTTTTAAATTTCAACTTAAAATTAAGGACAAAAATTGTAATTTATTTTTCTTTGTAATAATTATAAAAAAAATTTTTTCTAATAAATATATTTTGGTATGATAGAAAAATAACAATTCTAGTTAAATTATCCCGATTTGTTTTCTTTGTTTATTTTATTTTGTTAAATTTTATTTTCTCAATATTTACAAATTTTGATAAAAATATAAAATTAAATATTTTTAAAATAAAAGCTAGAAATTATTTTTAGAAAAAAAGAAAGAAATGGAACATACACAAATAATTTAAATGTATTTATTAGAAAAGAAATAAAATTTATAAAAACTTTTAAATGGAAACAAAAGTATATTTTTGTTTTGATTTTACAAATTCAACTTATATTCGGGGAAAGATGTTACTTTTTTCGTTTGAAATAATTTAAAAAATAATTTAATAAATACATTGCGGTATAATAGCAAAAAATAATAATTTTGGATTCATTAGCTTGATTTTTTTTATTTTTCCAATATTTACAAATTTTGATAAAAATATAAAATTAAATCTTATTAAAAATAAAACTAGAAATTATTTTTAACAAAAGCAAAAGAAATAAAACATACCCAAATAAACTCAACTCTCGAGAGTTGACATTTATTTTCTAAAAAAAGAATATAAAAAACTTGTATATACTAAAGGACTTAATTAATAAAGTTTGCATTCTAACTATAATTTTAAACTCAAATAGTAAGAAAATTATGCTTATTTGCTAAGTGATTTTGAATAAATTATTTCTAATAAAATATTTTCTCGAGAGATTATAATAATAAATAAGTTTGTTGTGTTAGGTTGACATACTTTTAGAGAGTTTTAAATTATATTAGTTATACTAGTAATAATTAACAAAAAATACTCTCTAGGATTATTATTTATTTTTTACTTCTATTTATTTAAATGTTAAAACATCATTTTGGTATGTTTCATTTCTTTTTTTTTGTTAATATCTAACTTTTTTTTTAATAAGATTTAATTTTATATAGGAGAAATGAAATAAAATTTGATAAAATAAGAATAAAAAAGGAAATAAAATTATGAATTCAAAATTATTACTCATTACTATTATACCAAAATGAATTTATTAGAAAAAAAATAATATTTTTAAATTTATTATAAATGAAAATAAATTATCATTTTTGTCCTTAATTTTAAGTTGAATTTTTAAAATCAAAGACAAAAATGGTAGTTCTGTTTTATTCTTAAAATCAAAAAATTTTTATTTATTTTTTAATAAATACATTTTAGTATGACAATAAAAAGTAATAATATTAAATCTATCACTTTAAGATGTAATTCTCTTGCAAATTTTGATAAAAGACTATATTGACACCATTTTTAAAGGGTTGGAACTATCATGAAACTGTTTAAAGTTTAGAAATCCAAATTGAACCCAAATAAAAAGTTTGGGATTACAAATACACTTTAGCTGTATTATTAGAGTTTTGCTTACCTAGTCTTAGGAAAATTTTAGGTATTGTTTAGTACAAAGTGATCAATCAAAAAACTATAGTAATTTTATATATGATGATCATGTCATCGTTTTTAATAATGATCTTACATGGTGATGATTTTATATCACAAAGAGTTATCATATCATTACCTTGAAAGATAATTTAATTTTCATTTAAAAAAGTGTAAAATTTTTATCACTAATCAAAAGTGATATGTAAAATTAATAATAATCAATATTATTCATTTAATATATAAATTAAAAACTTGCTTCTTTTCGAAATTATAATTATTTTGTATGATAAATTTTTATATTTTTAAATTAATATTTATTGTAACAAATTCAAAAATAATTTGTACATTTTCCTTTAACGTTTTTAATGTTATATCTACACTATATATTGAAAACTATCCATTGGGGGATACCGTCTTGATTTGCGACAAGATATATGTAAAGGACCCATAATTATTACTCTTTTGCTATTATACCAAAATTATTTATTAAAAAAATAAAATTTTAAAATTATTAGAAATGAAAATAAATTACCACTTTTGTCCTTGAATTTAAGTTGAATTTTTAAAATCAAAGATAAA